ATAGGGTCAAAACCTTTAAAACGGTAAACCAAAAACAGTAAAAATGTTAAATTGCACAATTGTTATTCATTAACATACTGATAATAATCGTAATCGTACTCTTCGAGAACAAAAATCATGAGTAAAAGAGGCCCCTTTATGAAACATTTCTGACATGCTTGATAAAGGGCACGTGCTGCATTGTATTGATGTTCACCCTTCTCCGTTCTTTTCTGACATTGATATTTGTGCAGTACTTGAAGATCATTATAAGGCCCAGTTCTTGTTTTTACACTCAATTTTTTATTCTTCGATTTCGTCTGATAATATGGAACATTTTGTTAAATTTATCCATCACTTTGTTTCATAGAAGGAAAGTATTCTGGCAAAATTTGATAAAAGAGTTTGTAACTGTAGGCAATTTCGTTACACCGCATTTACGTGATATAGCTATTTTTGTATTCATTAGCAAGACAACATTTTCAAGAATTGATGTCAATTCCAATGTATTGTAATATAAGAAAGAGCGAGAATAAAATCTTCGCGAGCACACAGTGTCGCGTAATTGTTATATTTTATTATAATGGACTCGCGTAAATACTTGAAAATTGTTGCGAATATGACGTTTTTCACTTAAACAATAAAATGCTTTCTTTGCTTACGCGGGTTATGTAATTTTTTTTCTGCAATAGCTGCGACCGTTAATTCCAGTAATAACAAACAAAGAAAGCATTTTATTGTTTATATTTATATCTGTTTAAATAATCATTTAAAGTAGGATTAAAAAGATTAATTATTGTATTAATGATGCGAACGTCTTTATACGTTTCATTGATGGAACAGCCACTGATCGAAAAATCTGTACAGGCGACATGCCTAATGTAGTTCATGCAGTGATTAACGCAATGGGTTTTCTTAAGAAATACAGGAGAAAATATTCAGTGGATGTAAATGTATAAGTATAACCTTACCTATTTTTGAGTTTCAAAAGATTAAAAAAAAAATACATTTTTTTCGGGGGAAGGGGGGGGGAGTATATGAATGGCTTAAAACAAAACAAGCATCTGTTAATATTGGCATAGAAATTATATTGAGAGAATTATTCTTTGAATAGACATTTGAGTTTATCTCCTTATATTTAAGTACAATTCTGTGAAAGAGAATGAAATACGTGGAGATAACGCTCAGTATTCTGGCTCAATCTAAGTCCATTAAACATTTCAAATTAGGAGCAGTGCAAACACGGACATCTAACCTATCAGAGTTGGGATCAGGTGCCATGGAGGAATGAGCATCCCCTGCCGACCGGTCAAAAGTGTGCTCCTTGTAAGAAATAACGACAAAAATCTGTAAAAAAAAAAAAAACCCAGGGGTAAACAAAGGCCTAACAATTTATGTGATAAAGGTCATTAAGAATATGTTTACAGAATTGATCGTATTAGGTAACACAATCATTGAATTGTCATAGAACTTATTAAATAATGACTTGAACGAGACCGTTGATATTCTTGTTTCATCAACTCCTTTTTCAATAACTTACCGCGTTTTAGACATTGTTAATATGAAGAGCAATGATCTATTGCATATCAAAAATTGATCCCTGATGCTGATGATAAGGATATATAAAATTCAAGTATAAAAACGTGTCGAATAAATATAATATATATACGAGTGATTGACTATTTCCTCATCTATAGATTAGTTACACATTGATTCTTTTGAGGAATGACTCTCTAGTATGATTGAAGACAAATTAATAATAATAATGGGTTTTTTACCTGGTTATATTGCATGTCTTTATTATATACGATGGGTTCATTACCTGGTCCAATTTTATTTCTTTGTTTTTATTAAGATGGGTTCACAACCTGGTCAAACTGTATTTCATTTTTTTCGAATCATCTTTCTAAAATGATAGAAACACGTGCCTTTTAGAATGCCATAGTTGAATAAAATTGATGGAGCTAAGGAACAGTATTCAAGCTCACTATCTGCTCTAGGAAGTTCACGAAGACAATATAATCTCCATAAAAATTCTACCACGAATGTAAACATTAGAAAACAATAAATCCGTTTAAATGCAGTTATGGTGCACTAAAATCTATATCCTTATCTTTGTGCATTGATTGATAATGATCATATCATGCCACTTTGCGGGGTTCCTCTCACTAACATTTGTTTTCAATTAACCAACGCATCCTGAATAAAATGATTCCTTTGGCAAAATCAGTTAGTGTTAAGTGACCTTTAACTATAGTACAGATTTGATGCTGATTTTCTTCAATTCTTCCAGATTCTTTCTTGTTAGACTGAATCTATTCTGATTAAACAGGTCAGTAATCAGATCAATATCGAGGTTATTGATGACCATAATTTATAAAGTAATCGACATTTATCAATTAACAATATTCATTTTTATTCCCTTGTTGATTCTTGATATCACTTCGAGATCTCCATAAATAAAATCTAAATCTTGAAGCAACTTTTTTTTCGTACGGATATTTAACAAAACAAAGGCAATATTGGTTTGCAAACAAAAAATACTTTTTAACGTGATAATGCTGTTTCCATAGGATCCACGGTTTTGTGATTTCTGCATTTCTATGATGGTGCTTCTACATAAACAAGGAAGATTTGTCGGTTACATTTACCAACAATGCATGATGTCTCACTTACTAATACATAGCGTCTCCCTCGCAATGCATGTGAAAGCCTCTGCTTTAGAGTCGTGGATTAAGGAGTTGATCCTTACATCAAGGGTTCGAATCCTGTACTGGGACATGGAGACCGGTCATTTCGGATGAGACCGTATAGATGAGGACCCGTGTCGCAGTTGATGGTGGAAAGAAATAAAGATCCTGCACTGCTCATTGGCTCTGGGTACCGAATATATGTCTTAATGTGATTGAAATTTGTTCGAGATGCACCTGTAGATTTACTAGCTATGTGGATTTTTTTTTTTATTCCTCACGCCGGACTAGTGGGAGGATATGTAAAGATCTGGATGTCCGTCCGTTCGTCTGTGTGTAAGTCTGTCTATCTCTCAACGTTACGCTTTGAAATTCCCATCTCTTATCCACAACCCCTCTAATAGGATTCCCGTTAGAACCAATTGCACCCCATTTTTAGCAGACTTTTCTAAATTCATATGAAGCAGAATTTGTCAAAAATGGTGTACGTTAAAAGAAGAAAGCACTTGATCTGGCCTTCAACTCGACATTTAGATATATTGACGACATATTTTCAATTTACAATGATTATTTTCATTCTTATGTCTATACGATGTATCCCGGTGAGCTTTTTTGAAGCTTGAATACTGTTAATTATCTCCATATATTTCATTTCCTTTTTTAGCACAGAATGAAATTTAATAAAACCATTTCAAAGAATATTTGTTACCTAGTGCCATTGTGCACCTTCTATTTTACTTTTTTTTAATCTGACACTTACCATTACAATCATGTTGGAGGCGAGGGGGTATCATTTTGCAAGCTCATTAATCACAGTACCTCTATTTTTTCTGCTTCTTCGTAGTTGATTTATTCAATTTGATATTAGTATTGTCTTCTTTTCAATTTCTTAATTGATAAACACAAACTAAGTACCCATTTTTCTTCAGACGAGGGAATTATGAAAGCTACAACCAATAAATGAAGCAATAAACCCGGCTAGACCTGGAACGAGGGGTTCACATGTCCCATCTGTGGGTGGTTTATGTAGCGATATTTTCTATAATGTATATCTGGAATAAATGTAATGTTGTCTTGCCACACAGTTTTCCTCACATTAGATAGTTCTTATTTGATAACTGATCGGTTGATAGCTATCTTAATTAACATTGCCGAGTCAATTTTATGCTGAAGTTCGGGATAATATGGGAAAGGAGGTAAAATTAATAAGCATTAATGTGTAAAATCGTGTTCATAATCAAACGATGGAGATTCTCGCTGATAAACAATAAGAAAATTAATCAATGTGGTTAAAGCATAGTTTAAATTTGTAGAAGTTTATTTGCATCTTTTTTTTTTCAAACCCTGACATAATTTGTTTGATAGACTTTTTATTTATGTATTTTTTTTCATTATCATTTATTTTATTTATTTTTATTATTATAATCTTTTTAATTTGCTTTTGTTGAAATTTTATGCATAGCATCGTATTTGTGTGAGATCTTTGAAAAATGATATCTAATTATGTTGGGGTTTAAAGGTTCTCTGTACTTTTGATGTAGCTGACCCCAAATTAAAGAAAGCTTAAAAATGATAAAAAGGCATTAAAATGACTTTAAAGATATCTATAAAATCTTCCTTTATTGTTAAAGATACTTTTTTATTTGACCTCATCAATGCAGTGGTTAAAGTGAATTAATAAAAGAAACATTACTTCATTTTTCAACGAATAACGTTCAAGGGATTTTTGCTTGACACAAAAAATAAACCTTCGCCCTTTTTTTAAATGCACTATAAAACATTGTTGTTATAATGCTATAAAAATCAAATGTTGACATTGAGTCATAATTTCCGTAATGTTGGAGTTTTTTATATAAAGAGGATGGGGCAGTACTTTTATATTGTTTTCTGCTATAAGTTACCGTCTCTGGGGAGTTGATTTCCCTGTGAAATAAATCTTACGCTTTTAAACTGATTCACCCCTCATTCAAGTACAAGTATCTCATTTCCATACCTCGTCTAAAGGTATAATAAAGACCTTATCAAACAGGCTAACGAACTAACACCTCTGCGCACTGATTTGCATGAAATGTGTTAGCAACAATTTATTGGGGGTCTTATAAACCATCACGTAAAGAGATTAAAAAACAAACAAAACCAGATCGACTTTATCTCGCCGGGATAACTCGACAGACTCATTCATCAGACGGAGGTGATTGGGAATCGACATTAACGTCGGGGAAGTAACCAGAGGCTGGAAACAGCGCGGGAAAGAGCTTGCGCTCACGATCAGCTGACCAAGACCTCATTTATCCAATCCAAACAGAGGTTTACATTTGAAATAATCACAAACTGACGGGCAGTGTGTTTGAAGCTTCACTCGTCCATTTACATGTCTTTGCGTTCATTTCTTAAGTAAATAAAATGTGTATTGGACTCTGATCACGGTAAAAGACATTTTGAAAGGATGTTGGATATTTCAGAAGAATAATTGCTGAAAACAATGTAAGTATTGAGTTCATTTTATCATTAAAAGATTTTTATTACTAATATTTTTAGAAGCTTATAAAAATAACACAACATTTCGCATTGAGGTATTAACCAATGTTTAATCAAACATAAAACACAAAAAAAAAAAAAAATCAAATTATGTATTACCAGTAAATTACATATAATTTTGATTATCAAGAACTGTGACTTTAAATAATACTTTTTAGGCAATATCAACTAAAAATTCCATCCAAATAGTTTTATATAAGCATTTTCATTGTTGAAAATAAAATCTCATGAGATCTGCTTTATTTACTTTTTTGTCGGAAGGTTAAAGAACATATTGAAATTTTAGGTTGAAATGCCAATGTATTTTACCATCAATTAATGAATGAGTAAATTGCAATCCTGTATGATAAAAAAAAAATAACTATTTGCGAATAGTTTATTTTCAACTTAAAAGGATTACTATAGTTAAATATATTTTACTATAGCTAACTATACTTTCCTATAGTTAACTTTAGTTTTCTATAGTTAAGCTATAGATTACTATTGTTAAAGATATCAGCTATAGTAAATCAAAGCTTTCACTTTAATTAATGAAAATGTTTTACTATGAATATATTTATTTGATTTTTAAACATCTTACAAGTAATTTTCTGATATTAATATGATTTTTTTCCTAATAAACTTACATATGTACATATTTAATCAAATTATAAAAACCTTGGTTTGTAGTTTAAGATATATATAGCCTCTTTTTCTCCAAAATCTTCTACAGTATCAAATGAATTTCACTACAGTGAACAATAGTAAGCTAGAATTTACTACATTTTTGTCAGAATTAAATCATAAAAAATAAATGTGAGAATAACACGAAATATCAGATCATTCTCAAGTTGTATTTTTTTTAATATCTTGGTATCTTGAAAGAAAGAAAGAAAGAAAGAGTAAAAACAAAAACGCATATCTGACAAAGGAAATTAGAGTTTGTATGCATGAAGGTGTCAGCATGATAAAAAATCAGAGGTGAATCCTATTTTTGAGCTAAGTCAAGCAATTAAGTTACCTGAAAGTGCAATAAATCTATGTCTGTTAAAGTAATACAATATGAAACAATAACCAGATGAACGAGGCTATGTTACTAGTAGTTTCTTAAAATGGTTTCTATTTTTTAAAAAGAATTATTTCAATACATATTAAAAATATTCTTTTAATCTTAATCACAAAACATATAATTTGATATCAGTAAGGAGAATTGCATGTATGTATAAAATTAAAAGCTAGACTATGCATCACATCAACCCTACTAAAATCAATTATAAAATCTATCCAATAAATAAACAATAGCTCTGTTAATTATCATTGTACTAATTGATTATTAATTAAGATTAAATATAGTTTTAAGTATAATTGTTAAATGTAGTGTAAAATTAATTGCTACGTAATGTAAGGGAATTATATTTCAGATGCAATATCAGAGCAAGTTTATACCTTGAAAGACATAAAGATAGGTACTCGAGAAATAATGCTTCTTAGATAAGGCATAGTTAACTTATGTCAATTAAGGAAACACCAAAGGCTTTTTTCAGGATTTTTGCCAATTCTGAAATTTTTGGTTAAGAGGATGCTTATCAAAAATGCTTGCTGATTATATTAAATGGTTTTCTAATTATTTAACAATTATGAAACATAAATACTACCGCATATGAATGTTCCGTTATTAAAGCTTTTGATTTGATCTGTGACTGCCTACACATGACAGGTGCAATAAATCACTGTGTCCACTTTAGAAATCCTTCAATAGCCAGACAGTGGTTATCAGTAATTAAACTAAAGGGACTGCAGATATATGGGATAGGATGTAACAGGTTATTAATGACCATAAAATAGGAGGTGGAGCTCAGCATTTGCCATTTGCCGGGAAATCTTTCTGATTCAGAATTGAAGCCGTTTTACTAAATGAAAGGCACTTAAATACAGTAAAGAACATCCCAGTCCTGTGAATATGTAAAGTAGATATGGATATGTGACAGGTATCCAAAGCTGAATCCCCAAAGTGTCATAAGTTTCTAGCTTTTGGTTTTTGACTCTATTGTAAAGTAAGATCAGACAGTTGGTGGTATTATTTCGAAGGATTCAGCTCCCTTATTTATTGACCAGTTTTTCTGAAAACTGGCCAGCTTCTGTCTCAGATGTGTGTTCATGCACAAAACTATAGCTCAGATGGACACAGTTTCGGCTTAAATTTCAAAATTTATTTTTCCATTTTTTGTTTGTTATAAAAATGATATTTGCTATATGTAAACAAAACAAACACGAACCTTGTTTACATTATGAAGAACTTTAAGTTCTTTATCTTGTTTGTTAATCAAGAAATGCTGTTCAAATTTTTGCTTATCAATAGATGATGCCTTAAGTAGGAATTGTAAACATTAAAATTGGTTTTTAAAGAATCAGTTGAAACTGTGTCCAGGTCCCTTTAAAAAAGGACAAGGAATGGTAACTGCCGAATCTGGGCCCGTAGTAAGATGGTGCAGAAATGGGACATTCGCAGCACGGTTAAGGTGCGCAATGGAAATATCGACTAAATTTTGTATTTAAAAATGTATTTGTAATCGGAATGGCGATTATTTTTAGTACATTATTTATATCAGATAATTGTAATTATGATTAATAACTACATATCGAGGACGAATACATTTTATATTTAGACTAGTCACGTGATGCCGCAGTCAGGCGATTTTAGCACATTGACTTGCATTATTGATGATACATATAAATATCAGTAGTGCAAGGGCATAACCAAGTTTAATTTCCAAGTTTATTATATAATTATTTACAACACACATTGTAGTTCCTAAAAAGTGCTGCGATCCTGTCTAATTTCTGCAATTTCATTGTTACAATTATATTTGTATGACCGAATGCTATATTTTTTGAGGGTCAGCGGCATGAAATATTGATATAATTAAATTGTTTTTAAGATTTCATCAGGATCGCAGCACTTTTCAGATACCTTAATAGTTCTAGAGTTGAAATGTAAAAGCTTATTATGATCCATAGAGAGTATGCCCTTGCACTAGATCGATTTATTAAGACCCCCACATTACCCTCCTGTGTACTTGCATACAAATATACGGCAGTGTCAATTAAATACGTAATGTACAGAAAATATATTAATAAAATAGTGAAAACGACATTAAATTCAAGTTATTGCTCATAGAATATCTGTAAATGATATTTTATTTAATTAGATAATAAATATTTTATTGAGAAAATATTACTTGATCTGCCTCTCACTGCATACAAACTACGTCACGTTGTAGGAAATGACGTCATATTGACAAGTGTATTGCGATCAGTTACATGTATATAACTTGTTATGTGGGAATTAACTAAAGTCAAAACAACACGCTGTAGTAAGTTTTAATGTAGTTGGATCATTTCTTACTGGTTAAATTAGCAAATCAACTCATTTTATGGTATTTTAAAGAAAAGCTGTATGACGTATATTGTGTATGATGTCATAGTCAAGTTTTCCCGTACAAATTAGACTCCGCCTCCTTTTTGTAACCTTAATTGTGCTGCGTTTTACCAAATTTACTCTATTCTAGTGGAATTTCATAAAATTTGAGATACCTTTCGCTTCGGAAAACATAGAGCATTAACTTGCGTATCTGAAATTTTTATACACAAAATACATCTGAAACTAATGTATGAAATGTACGAAATATATAAATTTGGTAGACTGGTAAGCTTGTGCTATATTTTGTCTACAATGTGCTGCAAAGTTGAGGAAAATTTGCATAAAAATGAAAAAAAAATGGAAATTGACCTATATTTTGACCTTCCTGTGACCTCTGTATTTCCTGTTACTTAGAACTCATACTTATTTAGTGGCAGCAGGTAAACTGTTCCGTCACTCTAAAAGACAACCCAAACCAGGGGCCAAAAAGAGGTCCTAGCCTATCCTGTCCTCGCAATCATCTTGTAATAAAACAAAAGTTTTGATGCCAGAGTTCTATCTAAGTCATCATATTTTGTCTACAATATTCGTCTCTAGTTTTTATTTATCCTACCCTCTATGTGCCTAACACACAATTCAATCTTTTTCGCTTCCTTCATTCCTCATTATTATACACTCTCTATGCCTCTGTCACGTCAGGGGAAAACAAGATACAGTTTCATCTGCACAGGTAATGTATTGCAAAGTGGAAAAATGCATTTATGCACTTACAATGAGAAAAAAAGCAGGACCAGATAAAAGATAAAAGTGTGCACTGCACGCCACAGCAATCAGATAAAAGTTGTAACGAAAGCAGCAACTTGATTCATACCCCAATGCAGATATGTAAGCTAGTATGGTTTATGCCTATTTGCCATTCCTGTTAAACTTTGAGAGTAATTAAAAAATATGGATCAATTGGAAAACATTTTAAAAAGCGATAGGTGCATGTTTTTATATTAATTTAAACTTTTGCCTACTTTGTAAACCTATGTTTCATGTAAACCGTTATCTGTGACAAATTAGAATAATGACAATGTTTTACAACTCGTTTATTGTTGAACATCTCCTAGGCTTTGAACCACGTCAGTTAATGAATAGGAAACACAATTTGAAATGCTATTTCGCGCTAAAGTTAGTTTAACGCAGAAAAAAAATAATCCAATCTTTAAAATAGGGATATACCGGGTAACTTTTAAAATTCATTACTTGTTCTTTGTCAGATCTTGTATTTTTTCGACTAAATTCTAAAGCTTTCGAAAATCCTATTCCTTTTTCAAACTGATCTTTTCAATGCTTTGAGAGCTTTCTATTTTTTTCTATTTCAGTGTCATATGATGTACATCATGCTTAATGCGTTGACAAGTCATGCTTAAAACACAATTTGTTCTTCTGAGAGAGCTAAAAATACCTGATGTTTATTGAATTCAAGCCTGAAGCTACAATCGCCTTTGTGTTTTTATCTCAGTTTTGTCCTTAGAAGATTCCATCTAGCTGCTCAATCTTA